AGCCGTTGCAGACGCTGCAGTCATTGGCGTGCAGACGGAGGATGGAGATGAGAGACCTCGTGCGTACGTGGTGCTAAGACCAGATGAGAAGTCGCAAAACACGCCGGAAGAGGACATTGCTAAGTTTATAGAGGAGAGAGTGTCGAGGCATAAGAGACTCGCAGGCGGTGTGGTGTACCTTGATGCTATTCCAAAGAATCCAAGTGGCAAGATCCTGCGGAATCGGCTGCGGGAGAAGGCTAAAGAGGAGACAAAGGTAGTGGGCTCGAAACTTTAGATTTCTCGTCTCTATAACCATTGCATCGCCAAACTATATACGTGCATCGCATCGCATCGTGTCCATTTACAAAACGGACAGCTTACCGGTCAAGCTACCTCCCCAGGCATCCAATGCACCTTTCCCTGCTTCCCCGAATCCACGCTCAATACCTGTCCAGTCACATTCCCACTCCAGTTCTCACTCGCCAGGAACACCACACTCCTTGCCACTGCGTCCACTGCCACCGGCGCTCTCAGCGCCGTCGTAGCCTGCGCCGTTCTCCACAATTCATCCGGATCCTCCTCACACTCCTTCCGGAATTGCGGCGTATCGACCGCTCCTGGCGCGATGGCATTCACTCTAGCCCGCGGATGGATCGTGACCACATCCTTCTTCAGTGACTGCACGAGCCCGATCTGTACAGCCGCCTTCCCGGCACTGTAGTCCGCGTTTCCCGTTACGCCCGTTTCGGCGGCCTCGCTGCCGATGATGATGAGACTTAGGTTCCGCGCCGTGGCGGTGGCATGGGCCCTGAGTTGCCGCAGCCAGGTGCGCGCAGTGAGAAAGGTGCCCTGCACGTTCACGCGCATGGTTTCTTGCCACTGAGCCAACGGCATGTCTGCCAAAGACGCATGATGTGCCAGGTAGCTGTAATCGATGCTGGCGAGCGCGACGCAGACCTGGACCAAGCCATGCTGTTGTCGGATGGTCTCGAAAGCGCTTTCGAGTCCGCACTCCGAACTGATGTCCACTCTGTGCCAGAATAGGTTTGGATGGCTGGGGAATGCTTTCATCTTTTCGTCGTTGATGTCGAAGGCGGAGACGATGGCACCGGCCGCGAGAAAGGATTCCACCGTTGCCGAACCGATATACCCGGCCCCGCCGGTGATGAGGACGTGGGTGCCATTGAGTCCGAGGGAGAGATCTGGGAGGTCCATGGCAGGGTTCTGTGGATATCAGCAACATTTCACATGCGCTGTGGAGGGTGGGAGGGTTTTCATATGCCAAGATCGTCCTTAGTCATCCGAGACGTACTTCTATCGTGGTTTTCGGCTCAATTGTTTTTTCCTGAGTATCATGAGGGTCGATGATAGCAAATCAATATATCTGAACCTCACTCATCTGAAAGGCCCGTTCACACAATGCACCGAAGGCCGCAAAAGATAGGAGCTACTCTTTCTTTTCCGTCAATGTGCAGGCTTCGGTGCTATCTCACAATTACCACTCAAAGAAGTCAGTATCTGGCTTGGCTCCTCTCAGCTACTAAGCTATAGAACCCTATGAGCGTAGTCTTGTATTCAAGCAAGCGATTTAGCGCAGAGGAAACACCCGCGGAAACAAGACTAAAAAGATAAATGCTATCATCCCTGGCCCGAGCTATGAGATCCTTACTAACAAATATCTCTATATCAGTCATATTCTGATAGAGGCCCTTCCTCACCTCATTTATTTACCACGCACTACTAAGTCTTTCCATTTGAATAGTATGCTGTGCGTTTGGCTGGCTACTGGCCAAGGCTTGCTAGTGTGGGTCAGGACGTGCTTCCCCCACGTGTACCGGCTCCCGC